CACAAAATTGCAGTTGGAACTGCTAGAGGCTTACTTTACTTGCATAAGAGTTGTCCAAGAAGAATAATTCATAGAGATATTAAGGCTTCAAATGTTTTATTAACAGCTGATTTTGAACCCCAGGTGAAGTAAAGAAAGCCGTTGTGGAATAAATTGGACTAACACCAATATTTGACATACTATATATTAATCATGTTGTTTAGTACTTGTTGTAATTTGTACAGATATCTGATTTTGGGTTGGCTAAGTGGCTTCCATCACAATGGACTCATCACTCAATTGTTCCTATAGAAGGAACATTTGGGTACATAATCCTTCCTTCTAGTTCCTAATCCTACCTGATGAAAGTACTTATTACTTGAGTGTATAATTGGCTTATAATTGATAATTTGTGCAGACATTTAGCGCCGGAGTACTTTATGCATGGTGTCGTAGACGAGAAGACAGATGTGTTTGCTTTCGGAGTCCTTTTACTTGAGCTTATTTCCGGAAAGAAACCAGTAGATGGTTCTCATCAGAGCTTACATAGCTGGGTAATGATGAATTCTATAATCAAGAACTACTTTGAATCATAAGATTGACTTTACTGAGTTTTCACTATCATTAATACAACAGGCAAAACCAATATTAGACATAGGAGAATTCAAAAAGTTAATTGACCCGAGGCTTGGAAATGAATACGATGCAACACAGCTTAGTCGACTTGCATTTGCAGCATCTCTCTGCATTCGAGCTTCTCCTATTTGGCGCCCGTCCATGAGTGAGGTGACTATTTTCTGTAATATACTTTCAAATAATACTCTCATGTGCTTTCTTCGAGTTTAGTGATTATTCACATTGTCCTTAATAGATATTCTGCTAGGCCTGGTTAAGGAGGTGACAAGGGATTTTCTATTTTAGTATAACAAAACAAATGAAAAAACAAGATGAGCGTGCAAGAACATAGCAAGTATTTAATCAGCTTTTTCATCCTTTTCCTCCTGGGATTTTTAAACTTTGATTCTTGCTCATGAATACTGTCCACTTGTTCATTGTTTGGAGGTACTACAAATTGTTTTCAATATCTTTACTTTATGTTATTTTTTTGTCGTTTCTGCTAAGAATTCTGAATCAAGCCCAAGTTGCCTCAATCTTCCATGTTATAAAATTGTTTCTTGATATGCATGATAATTGTATGTTACCATCTCNTCTGAATCAAGCCCAAGTTGCCTCAATCTTCCATGTTATAAAATTGTTTCTTGATATGCATGATAATTGTATGTTACCATCTCAATTTATTTATTGACAAATGTAAAGAATTCTTTGAAGTTCTTGTCATTATCTTATTTTAGTCTTTAAGTACACGCTATTTATGCCCCGATTCACCTAAACTCATGCTAATTTTTTCTTTAGAGTTTACTGAGTGCACGCCACATTAATTAATCCATTGAAACCATACCTTAAAATTAAAAAAATTATCACGAATTTCATACAATTTTCATGGTTGACCTGCAATTAGGCAGTTTATAAATGATATAAGATAAGATTTCAAATATATTATTGTTGTCCTAATGGCATGTATGATCCTGTGCATTGATAATTAGTCAAATTTCACATCATCATTAAAGTAAGAGTTCATGTTTTAGTCTTCTTCTGTCATTTGACGTTGCTACACTCCTTTGCGTCACGCCATTCCAAATACTAGGTCGATGTTTCTAACCTAACCAAACTATAATATAATGATCTATGAGGCAAACAACATGTTGTCCAATTATTGTGATTAGAAAAGATTATTGCTTGATACTAACAGCCAAAACTGTCCTTCAAAGTCACTGTGTTCTAGATTCAATTTTCGTTTCGTTTTGTGGAAAAAGAAAAAGAGAAATGGTTGTCTAATCATTAGTTGGCTAAGCCAAAAAATGAGATTGAAAACTTATGCTACACTTTTGTATATGTCCAGGCCTCCAGCACATTTATACAGTTGCATTATTTTCTAGTGTTCTTATATACTGCAACTTTGTCTATCAATTTTGGACACATTCACATTCTAGATACAATCACCACCAAGTACATGAGATTTGATAAATCAGTTTTTAGAACAGTAAAATTTAATTATTATTTTTATTTGTATGTTGACAGGTATTGGATGTAATCTTAATGGAAGAAGAAATTGAAAAGGAAAAGTGGAAAATGCCTGAGAAAGAAGAATATCAGGAAGACTTTTGGGATTTTGAGGATCTTGAATGTGAATATGATAGTTCCTGCTCAACCTCCTTGCACGAAATAATTTCAACCACCAGTTCTTAGAACCCGAAAAACGGTTTTTTTTTTTTTTTTGATATATATAATATATTTTATATGTAGATTACAAACATATTTTATGTAACTCTACAAGTACTTGTATATATAATTTTTGTAAAAAAAATAAGTTCTATCTCGACTATTACATTGATATGTGTATAAAGTGGTCTGGCCATGCCAACCTATGGTATCAGCTCTAAGTCTCAATCTTCCAATATATTTGTTGAATTTTGTTGAGAACCAGGCCAAATAATAAAAACGAGAATAATATGAATATAAAAATAATGGATTACAAAGAAAACTAAATTTACATGGATACCCAAATTCGAGAAAAACCACGGGCAGAAATGGGAGATTCACTATAATCAATAATAATGAGTTACACAGAATTTCTTTGAACCAATAATTAATTAGACAATTGATTAATTTCAATATATGCTATATATCACATATTTATAACCAAGAATCCGTAACATACTAAAAGAGTTAATACATGAAAAGTTTACTATAAGATGTAGTTCTAATACAATGGGTAAAATCAATAATGGACAATTTGGGATGAAATAGGAGTCATATTCACATTGAATTCTTTCAAGACATCTTCAAGTCCACTATGAACTCTAAATACTACTCCAACAATATTTTCAATCAAATACTCAATAGGAATTCGGATCATAACCCAATTCTAACAAACTTCACTTTGACACGAATTCCATTGCAAAGAATAAAATTTAACTCTTCAACGCCAACAAATTTCTCCAAACAAAATACTATACCAAATTACTCCACCTCTTCGACCATGCTACTCCTAACATACTTAGCAGCTGTGTACAGAGTCCGAGCACAACTTACTAATAGAATTAACTTGGGCACAAAACTTGCTAGAGTCACCATGAACAACAAATTCATCAAATTCATAACTAACTCCATCCGAGTTAACAAATTTGCATGAATTATCCCCACAAGCAACAAGATCAAAACTCCTTACATTACTTCACTCTAACACCCAAACAAAAAATTATCATGACAAAAGTGCCGCTAGGTTGTGGTTAAAATTGGGGCAGCTTTATATGACAAAGATCTTGACAAGTAAGTTATACTTGAAGCAGCGGTTACTTGACGGAAGGTGAATCTTTGGAAAATCATCTATCGATGTTCAAGGAAATTGTCGTTGACTTGGAGAGCATGGAGGTCAAATATGATGAAGAGGATTTGAGACTGATATTGTTATGTTCATTGCCCTTCATATGTGACTTTTAAAGATACCATTCTCTATAGTGGGGATACTCTTACTACTAAAGAGGTATGTGATGCGCATTATTCCAAGGAAAAGATGAAGCATCTAGTCGTCAGATCTAATCCCAGGCAGAGGGTCTTGTTATTTGTAAGAGGAAGACAGGTGGTCATGGAAAGGGTAGAGTCAAAGATAACAAAAGTATTGTAGTTTGTTGTATTACAACAACAAGGAGCACATGAAGCGGGATTGCTATGAGTAGTGGAACAAGTTTGCTACTACAGATCAGAAAGGACAACAAAAAAATCCTGTGATGCCAGTCGTGCAGAAGAATATTACAACGATGGAATTGGTGACCCCAAACCTGACGAGGGTTGGACTATTGATTCAACTTGCACTTTTCATATGTGTCCAAATTAGGATGGGTTTTCTTTATATGAAATAGTTACACGGGGTTTCGTGATGATGGAAAATAAGGAGCACTGTAAAATAGCTAGAATTGGTAATGTCAAAATCAATATGTTTGATGGGTCGATTATGACACTTGACCAGGTTCAACAGGTTCTAGGTGTATACAAGAATGTAATTTCTTTGAGTACTCTTGGTTTAATAGGGTACAAGCATATTGGTGGAGGTAGAATTCTGAAAGTTAGCAAGGGTACCTAGATTGTGCTAAGGAGGTGGAGAAAGTCTCGTTTATATATGTTTGAAGGTTTGACAGTTACTATAGATGCAATTGTAGCTTATGGTTTGATAAGTGGTGACTCGGGTGGGACTAGTTGTGATCTTGTTGCTCACGGTGATTTGAGCGGGTTTGACAACTCAGGTGGAGATGGGAGTGCTCGTGGCAATTTAAGCAGTTTTGATGACTCGGCTAGAGCTGGAAGTAAATGGGATGATTCAAGCAAGGTTGGCGCGAAATGTAATTCTACTTTTAAACAGGGCTTAAATTTAGTTCACAGTTACTGAGTACGCCCGACAGGGGCATGGTGTACCCAAAAGGAGGCACGATGGAAGAGTTGGAGAATGACTTGAAGAGCGAAGACTTAATTCCTTGTTTTGGAATTTGTGTCAAGATGGATTTGTTAGGTTGTGACTTAAATTTCGTGTGATTTGGAATTTTAGTTCATGGAAGAGGTCTAGATAATTTTGGTTTATAAATTCAAACAGATAAGAGATCAAATTTCATCATGCATTGATAGTTTGATTTGTAAGGACTTTGGAATTAAGGACTCTACTTCATCCATAATTCTAAGATTTGGCTCCAATAAATACTCCACAAGATGAGCCTCTTCATAGGTTCAACATAATAAGTAGGTCATTATTGTATACATTAGAAACTTGAGATAAAGATAATTTTAGTTTCTTGGTATAATAAATTCTTCTCTTTTTCTATAAAATTCTTGTTTATTGTGTGATCCATTATTTTTGTATTGCCTATATTTTCTCCTTTTTTTAATCATTTGGTCGGATTTTCAATAAATTGGTATCAGAACTACTTCACTTTTAATAAAGTATTTTAAGATCTTATCCGGATTATAACAAACTCCAACAAAAAGGGTACAACTATGTAGGGCTTAGGAAAAAGTGGAATTTGTATAAACTAATGCTTTGTATGGACAAAAATCATCTAAGTCCAATAATTTTAAGACATCCCTTGCGAACTACTCATCGAGAATGGGTCCTGCAACGACATGAATATTTTTGGTAATAAACTGCAACATTTTCAAACTTTGCTTGTTTATTTGAAGTCCAAAAAGTGGAAATTAATTATAAAATGATGAAGTTTGTCTCTCTAACCTAGTTGGGTTTACTTTATTTCCTCAATGCTAGACAATAATTTATTTATTTTTTCGCTCATTTTTAGTGTTTTGCAACACTTTATCTACAAGAGGAATAATTCCACATAGCGAATTACTATACATACGTGAGTCAATATTAAAAATAGAAGTTCTGAGAAGACTTCTCATTGAGAGAGGTCACATCGTATATGTCCTAGATCTAAAAGAAGAGGAGTAAGATTAAGACCAATTTTCGAACTTTTCATTATCACTAGTTTTGGTTTTACTTTGGCATATATTAACAAAGTAGATGGACAAAATTAAGTTATACACACACACACACATACAACAAATATGTCATCAATGTTCGATTGACCTTCAAACCATTCATCATGGACGAAGTTTCTAATAACTTGGGGCACCATTTGAACCTAAACAAGAATGCCAGTGGTGTGAGTCAATTACAGTGTGCCACTAAATGGCCAAAAGCTTTAAGTTTCCTGCATTGGATGGACACATTGTACCACTAAATGACCAAGAATACATTGTTGTCTACATTGGAATGACAATGAAATCCTTCAGGGATCGACAAGCGGACAAGCAGAATGGGTCGGCACTACTAACAGAGCCCAATTTCAATGAAATCGTAATAGTTTCATAGACTACTACATTAGTAAGAAATCGAATTGGATTAAATCCTCTCACTTAACGCTTCGTTGTTCCCATGTCCCCTACCTTCGTATTGAAAGCCAGCCTTGATCACAAGGCTTCGACCACAGTGTAGGCAGATTAGGGACCAACCTAAGACGTAAAGGACAAAACTCTCCTCGAATATATACTTATTTAAATTCTATCTTTTCATTCTCCTTTCACGTGTAAATTGTATTTATTTTTTGATCAAAAGTCTTGTAAGTACATAATTTTCGGAAACTCGAAAATCGAAGACTTAAACCCTATATATTTTGTCAAGTTCCCATACCATATTAACTATTTCACCTAAACCCTTAAGATGTCAATAAATTCGAAGTCAACTTCAAGATTATATTTTCCGACTGTATATATACATAATAAAATGCATACTGAGGGTCAAAATATGATAAGTTAATTAAAGTTGATCTAAGGGAAACGGTGAGAACAGCTGGCTCCTTGGAAGGGTTGACAAGACTATTTCAACTACCAGACTGCAACTTGAAGACACGGTACAATATTGGTGACACAAAACAAAATTAATGTCGTAAACAATCCACAAATCTTACATTCGACATGTATTATAATTTCCATGTTCATAGATTTTGTTCACAATTTTGTTTTTTTCAATAATATATCATAGTATTAAATTCATGGGAGCATGTGCATGGCAGTTGATGAACAGATAAGTATTGTCCCCTCCTTTTTATGACGGATTCAGTATACACCCAAGTGCCACTTAACACAGAGGTATAGTAGTTGAAGTTCCCAAAAGAAAAAATAAAAGGACAATTAGGTCACTTAAAAGCTTCTCTTTTTCTTATGTTAATTATAGAATTATGATTACCTTGGTTGAAGGTTGTTTTAAGTTGTTATGAATGAATCTAAAAGTGTTGGATCAAGCCTCAAGTTTCTCATTTTGGTAATCGATTTGAACTTCATATGCACATCAATGGTAAATTCATGATCATTGACGTGTAACAAAAGAAGATTTTGCAATTATCGCGGCCCATACTTCACGCAAAACTTCATAGTCCAAAATTAAATTGATGGAACTTTTTCTCTACCTAAAAATCAAAATCAATCATACGAAAACTATCTTGAAAAAATTGTAGGTTTTGATGTACACCGACACATAGTTTCGTTTTATTAAAGCCCTAATTTCTAATGGATATTTATAGCATAAAAATAGTTTTCCATACCATTTTAGCTAAAAGTCGTGATTTATATGTAATGATATAACAATAAAGGATAAATGTATTAAATTGTTGAAGACTTTTGTCTTTAAACCTTAGTTACTTTATATTGAATTTTTATTTATTTATTTATTATTATTATTATTATTATTATCATCAAGCAATGCAACAACAACTAATCATGCATTACTAACTAAATTGTTATTGTTAATTGTTAAATAAAACATATTATTATTTGCTCAAGTAT